CCACCCCCGTGGACTTACACAACGCCGTACCCGCCCTCACCGTTCACACAGCATCACTTCTGACCCAGGAACTCACTTCACGGCAAACGAAGCACTGCGGTGGGTCCCTGTGTGGGATTCGCTGGTCCTGGCTCGTTCCCGTCTCCCGAAAGATGCTGGCCTGGTAGAACAGTGGGAGGAAGGACGGAACGGCCTCCCAAAGACTTGATCCCAGTGCCAGCTGGGTGGCAAGACCGTGGAGCTGGGGTAACGTCCTCCGGACGAGGCAGGTGCCCTGCGTCAGCGATCTGCAGCTCCTCCCAGAGCCGGGATGCCCAGGCCCAGGTACCAGGAAGTGGAGAGGGCGGCGTTCTCCTCTCCCAGATGGTCCACCAGTGGAATGTTTGCCTCCCTCCCTGTACTCTGTGCTCTGTGCTCTGTGCTCCAGAGGTCTTAGATCCCAAGAGTGCTTTAGGGTGACCAGCTAACCTGGTGTGCCCAGGACTTTCCCAGGGTTAAGACTGAAAGTCACACAGCCTAGGAACCCCCTCAGCCCTGGGCAAGCCCTGGAGTGCTTCCACAGGGGACACGCCAGAGTGGAGGCTGAGACTGCCAGCTGACCACTGGGGCTCCTCACACCAGGAAACGGACGAGGGCCACTGTGCTGGCTGGGATGACCAAACCTATGGGGGAGAGCTGGGTTTTCATTGCAGATGGGGTTAGGAGGAGCAAGTCTGGAAGGCAGGAGACAGTCCCGGGTGTCTCTGAGTGCCCCCAAGTCCTGGAGTAAATGCCAGTGGGAAACTAGGACCACCCAGCACAGGCCCAGACGCTTCAGGAGTGAAGGCTTGGGTCACTCCACCGGACAAAGAACCACGGCCAGCTGAGGACAAAGGGAACATGGAGCGGGCAGTGGAGGAAGGCGGGCGTAGGTGCCAGCCACCACGGTGTGCTGCTTCCCCCCTTCCCTCCACACGAGGCTCCTTTGTGCTCCTAGGAACGATTCTTCATCTTCTTTTTCCCTCTCCTCCCTTCCATCTAACGTAACACGTTGGTAACAGTGAACCTGCACCTCAGTGCTTGTCACTTCTCTCCGACACTCGCTGAGAGTGGTTACGTGGTCGAGTCCTACAGAGCACATCGCTCAGAACCTGAACCCCCCAAAGGTGGGTAAGATGACACAACACTTTTGCTCAGTCTCTTCTGGAGAGGAGCGGCTGGTTTGGGGTCAGGATAGGTGCATCACATTAAACAGAAGCATGACTGTGCCCTTGTTTTTATTTGGAAGTTAAACATGGTTTAGAACAGAAGTGCATGTGCACACTGAGTTGTCCAGAGGGAGACTCTGCTGGGTGGTCTATCATCGGCTCGGCTAAGGGGGAATCCATTTCCCTGCATCCCCTTCCCTATAAGGTTCGGGTCAGAGTTGGGCAAAGGAGGAACCATGTGAGGCTGGGGAGACAGCAGTGGGTGGTGGCGGTTACTCTGACAGGGTGTCGCGGTCAGACGTGGTCGCAGATGGAGCAGACGCGTCCGGCAGGCCCCATCCTGTCCTCTTCCTCGCTCTGCCTCCCCCCTTCACCCCACCTGCTGGTCTCCAGGAGAATGGAGGAGCTCACTGGACGCCCGCAGACAGCAGTGTCCCAAACGCGTCCCTCCCAGTACCCACTGTCCAAAGATTCCGTCTCAGATCAGATGTCACCTCCCCAAAGAGTGACCCCTCCCGCTGCAGAAATCCTCCGTGCCATCTCTCTGCTCCGTTGCCTCACTTTATTTTCTCAACAGCACTTACCCCCTCTGAAACGATTATTGTTCACCTTTGTCTCTGCTTAGAAAAATACAAGCTCCATGAAAGGAGGGATCTTCTCTGCCTTGTGCATGACTGTGCCCCTTACCCGTGGCTCATAAAGGTCCTAGGTGAGTAACCACCAGCTGGCTGAGTGAGCACTGGTGGAACGAGAGGGGGAACACCGACACACGGACAGCGACATGGACATATGTAAATAAAGGAGGTTTGAAGATATAAGAAACACAATGAACTGTACAGCATAGTAGTATTAGTATGTTTTAAACACACACTCTGATGTTTTAATGAACGTGCAGATTACAGATACAGATAGCGGATTGGAGGAGAGAAGGCATGAGAACAGGAGGTGATGGGTGGGGAGAGATTTGACAAGACACAGGCATTACTGGCAGCACAGATGACAAATGACACGACAGTGGGATGCGGCCAGCTTGACTCTCTGCCCCGAGATTAAACCAAAAAGCACAGAGAAATGGTGTGGCCGGATCAAAACAAGACGGCGACTTCTTGGACAGTCTTTGCAGGACGAGGTGGGGTCCATGTCTCCCCTCTAAACCCGGCACGTGGCAGAGCTGGTGTGCGGTGACACCAGGCACTCTGCCCTGCTTGCTGGGGCCCAGACGTCACCGCCCTGGAGTGGCCACGTCCAGGTACTCTGATCAACCATCCCTGCTGACCCAGCCGTCCCCGCCAAGGCACCAACACAATGGAGCAGAAGGCTCCTGATGATACCAGCCTAGCCACCGGAACGGCCCGCTGTCCTGGTCTTCCGACCTGAGGAACAGCAGGGAGCAGAGAAGAGCTGTCCTGTTGGGCCCCGTCTAAATTCCCAACCCACAGAATCCATGAGCATTAACAGTTGTTTTACACCAGGAATGTTGAGTGGTCCGTCACAAAACAACAGAAAACCGGAACAGAGGGAGGAAGGGGTAGAGGGAGGAGTGAGGCTGGCGGCTGGGCAGAGGGAGGGATAAGGAGACAAAAAAGGTCGGGGAGGGGCTGAGGGAGCCCAGCAAAAATGGGCACCAAGTAGGTCATCAACCACACTCCCCTCCCACCTCTCGCTCAGCAAGAGCCCCACCCCGGACCCACCGCTCGGGTCAAAGAGGAAGAGCTCAGTGGCGCACCCTCCACCCCCCTCCATCTCCACTCTGCCCCCAGGGGAGGCAACCACCTGTCCCCTCTGCTGTCCCTGTCCAGCTGGCAGCCAGGTGAGGCCCTGGCCTTCCAGGCTAAGATCCTTTGGTGGCTCCTCGTCCCCCTCAGGGTGAAACCTTGTGCTTTCAAGACCCTTCTCAGTCTCTCTCCATGGAGCCTGTTGGCCCCACACAGGCCAGCCCCCTCAGCCATCATCATCACCCACCCACAGTGTCTCCCCCAAACTTCCTTTCTCTTTCCTCCACTTCCAACCCCCCATTCCTTCTGGTTGCACCGCTTCCAAGGGGCTTGCTTCAACTCCAAGACCAGGCAGCCCCCATTATCCAGCCTTCCCCCTATGTTCCCCAAGCCTCTAGTGTCCCCCATCACTCTGTCCCCCACCCCGTTTCCCCATGTCCCCACTGTCCCCCAAGCCATAGCCTGTGCCTTTCACCACTCCTATCTCTACACACCCTGGTTCCCACATTCCCTGTCCCTGGTTCTACGCACCTCCCAGTACCTCGCACCCCTTATCCTCTGCACCTCCTGGTACCTGGCACCTCCCATCCCCACACCTCCCGTGCCCTGCACCCCCCATCCCCGCACCTCCCATGTCCCGCATCCCCCTTGCCGCACCTCTCTGTACCCGGCACCCCCGTCCCCGTACCCCCGTCCCCGCAGCCCCGTTTCCACAACCCGTCCCCTCACCGCCTGTCCTCGCACCTCCTATGCCCCGCACCCCGTCCCCGCGCCCTCTCTCCTCCGCACCTCCCTGTACCCTGCACCCGTGCCCGCGCCCCGTCCTCCGCACCTCCCCGTACCCCGCACCCCCTGATCCCCGCACCTCCCCATGCCCCGCACCCCCCGATCCCCGCACCATCCCGTACCCTACACCCCCGTCCCCGCACCTCCCCGTATCCCGCACCCCCGTCCCCACAGCCCCCGTCCTCGCACCTCCCCA